TCTTTCTACTCCATGCCTTGAGCTTGTGGTGCAGACACCGCTCCTTGTCTGGGGGAGCAAAGACATCATCCTCATCCCTGCCATCTCCCCATCCATCCCACTGCTTTTTCCCTCGGCATCGCCCCTGCACTGTCAGCCTTTGCCGTGGAAGCGTGTTGTGAAAGCCAGGGGAGGAGTCTTGCTGCCCGCAGCAGAAAGATAATGCAGCGGAGTGTTTAACAGCCAAATAGTCCTGGCCTGGGACTATCACGGTGCTCACAAGCCGGGCAAGGGCCAAGGGAAAGGGCAAGCCTGCCTCGTGCCAGCTGGCACTGCGGGGTGGAGGTTCGTCCCGTGGAGCTTGGCAGCGAGATGCCCTTGGCTGAGGCGCTCTTGGCTGAACGGGGCAGCGTCTCGGCTGACCCTGCCACGTCCCGCACGGGGAGCCAGCAGACTTTGCACACTGGTCCCGAAGCTGCCTGCCTGTGCAGTTCTCCAGGGAGATCCTCTCCATGGCTGCAGAGCAAAGCTCCGTTTCTCTCTCGGTGCCTCTGGCCCAAGCGCTGGGCACACAGCTGCACTCCAGCGTCGTGCCTGGGAGGGAGCCAGGACTGGCTGTCGGAGGGGCCACTGCCAGGGCCGGGGGTGTAGGAGGACGTAACCTGTCCCATCCTCTTCCATCAGGCAGAGAGTGCCAGGACCAACGCAGTGCCTCTGACGATGATGGCACAGGCCACGGGTCATGATAGCTGGGTGAGCAGGCACCTGCGCCTAACATTTGACCCTTCTCTGGCCCAAATGAAGCAGCACAGGGACAGGTCCCTTCTGGGGCCTCCTCCACACCAGGACCGAGGCCCTGCAGTCTGGGGCCCGTGGGCACGAGGGGCGATTTGTCCTGTCTGTTGTGGGATCCCCGGTGAGGGCGTTTCCCCAGCACTGCGTTCCCCAGGGCGTTTGGAACGGGCTGGAGCGTTTGCTGCCGCGCTTCCCTGGTCCTGCAGCCCCTTACATGCCCTGCGTGGGTGTTGATCTCACTCTCACACAGGTCTCCAGAGCAGGGCATCTCAGCAGTGCAGACCCCAGCTTGGTGCTTCACTCGGACCTGAGCTCCGTCTCTGGCTGAAGGTCCCATGTGGTTCACAGGACAGCGGTCTCCAAATCAACCGGCGCTGAGCCACCAGCCGCAGCGCTGGGGAGCCTCGGACGTGAGAATAAACCAGTCACTCCAGCACGGGAGGGGTCGTGCTAATGGCAGGCTTCTGAATGCCAGTCATGTTTGCTGTTATCTCATATCTGGGCTCAGTGCCTTTATCGCCAGGCTCAACAGATATGGAGCAAAATCCATCCCTGGATCGTGCAGCTGCAGGCAGCCAATACCAGCCTTGGGGTGGGGAGTTGGTCGGGAATGACCGTGTCGGGGTGCAACACTTGGTTTTGGGAATAAAGAGAACGGAGCAGCGTGTCTCTCCTCCTTCAGCACAGCACCTGCAGCTGCCTGCAGATGCTGGAAGGACTCCAGTCAGTGGTGGGGGCAGCTGAGCTGGGTCCTCGAGGGCTCTGGCCTCAGCGGAGGCTCCGGAGCTGAGCCAGTGCCTGGCCCCTGCAGCTGGGAGGAACTGGGAGGGCTCCACGGTCCCACGACTGCACTGGATCTCTCTGGGTTTCTTTGGGGGCTGTGGAGGATGCAGACAGGATCAACGGGGGCTCTCAGTGCTTCACAGAGGCCAGCAGCAAGGAGAGAGCTGTGGGAACAAGCGTGGCAATTCCTGGGCTCTATCTGTAGTCTAATATTAATTCAATATTAAAGTGATGGGTGCACTTTGAATCCTTCTCCAGCTTCTCTGGTGCTGGCGCAGCCTCACGGCCCCTTCCCCAAGGCCCCATCCATCTGCGCAGGGCCACCACCACATCCCCGCTCTCAGGGGCACGAGGGGTGCCGCGCAGGAGCCCCGGGGCGGCCCGGCACC